GAGAAGATCGTGGAGCTGGAAGAAGAGATAGACAAGTTACGCTGGCATATTATAGGATTATCCGAGGTCCGAAAAGAGGGGCAGTACACGGTAATCCTCGAATCCGGCAACTTGTTCTATCACCGGGAGGGCGACCATCTGTCCCAAGGAGGTGTCGGATTTATCGTCCACAAGTCTCTCGTTAACAACATTGTAAAGATTGAGAGTGTGTCGACGAAGGTTGCGTACCTTATACTCAGAATCACCAAATGATATTCGCTGAAGATCATACAGGTTTACGCACCAACCTTGGCACACCCCTATGAGGAGGTGGAGGAAATGTATGAGGATATCTCTAGAAACATGCATTCCTCCAAAACCCAATATACGGTGTTAATGAAAGACTTCAATGCGAAACTAGGCACAAGAGAGAACGGTGAGCTGAAAGTAGGGAAATTTGGAATAGGGTAACGGAACCCAAGGGGCCAGCAGCTGGCCGACTTCATGGAGAAAGAGGGACACTTTATGATGAACTCTTTCTTCCAGAAGCGGCCCCACAGGAAGTGGACCTGGTCGAGCCCCGACGGTTCCACAAAAAATGCGATTGACTTCATTATGACGACCAAACGACAACTATTCAGTGATGTCTCCGTGATCGCGAGGGTGAAAACTGGTAGCGATCACCAAGTGGTTAGAGGCACACTGAACCTAAACAATAAGATGAAGAGGTCTCGTCTAATGAAGTCAACGCTCCGTCCCCCTCGTGCTCTATTCCAAAGTCCCGAAACCTTTCAGCTCGAGTTACAAAACCGTTTTCAGTGCGTAGGAGACTGCAATGAAGTGGACGATATGAATGATAAGCTCGTGGAAACTGTCCATGCGGTCGGAGCTAAGTTCTGCAAGACCCGCCGCAGAAGAACACAAAAACTCTCCGACCACACTCTCAATCTCATGGCTGTTAGACGGGAGATGAAGCTACATTCTTCATCAAATTTGACAGCATACAGGCAACTGAACAGACAGATCTCCAAATGCATGCGGTGGGACTTACGCAACTTAAATACAGCTTGTATTGAAGAAGCAATCGGGCGGAACCAAGACTCCAAAGTATTTGCCAGAGATCTGTCTGCCAGAAAAAGCCAACTGTCAAAGCTGAAGACCGAGTGTGGCAGCTACGTTTCCGGGGCACCTGAGATTTTGAGTGAGATTGAGAGGTTCTATGGGCAGCTGTACACGTCATCGTTGGAGTCACACGCAAGTGTGAGTACTAATCCAAGAGCGAGTCTTATCCGACACTATTCCGAAGATATCCCGGACGTCAGTCTGAGCGAGATTAGAATGGCTCTCCAGCACCTTAAAAACGGCAAGGCCCCAGGCGAGGATGGAAATACAGCGGAGCTTTTGAAAGCGGATGGAAAACCGGTACATGAAGTCCTTCAGAAGCTCTTTAATTCCGTCCTCCATGGTGGCATTACACCGGAGGCGTGGAGCAGAAGTGCGGTGGTCTTGTTCTTCAAGAAAGGTGACAATGCTCTCTTGAAGAACTATAGACCGATTTCTCTTCTGAGCCGCGTCTACGTGCTGTTTTCGAAAGTCATTACGAATCGTCTCGCACGCAGACTTGACGACTTCCAGTCTCCCGAACAAGCCGGTTTCCGTAAGTATATCGAAGTGCTGAAGTGTTTGTACAGTAGAGCTACGATGGCTATCCGAGTACAGAACCAGAGTACGAAAACTATCCAATTGCAGAGAGGTGTAAGATAGGGTGATGTTATATCTCCGAAACTCTTCACCGCTGCATTGGAAGAAGTTTTCAAGGTTCTGGACTGGAAAGGATACGGTATTAACATCAATGGCGAGTACATAACTCACATTCGATTTGCCGACGATATAATCCTTATGGCAGAATCGCTGGAGGACCTAAGATCCATGCTCAATTACCTCAATAGTGTCTCCCAACGAATAGGTCTTAGGATGAACATGGACAAAACAAAGATCATGTTTAATGTCCATGTCACACCTATACCGGTAGTTGTTGGGAGCACTAAGCTCGAAGTTGTTGACGAGTATGCTTACCTGGGACAAATAGTCCGACTAGGTAAGCCCAATTTCGACCGAGAGGTCAATCGATGTATTCAACTCGGCTGGGCAGCGTTCGGGAAACTATTACACATCTTCTCGTCAGACATACCTCATAACCTTAAAACGAAATTGTACAACCAGTGCGTGTTGCCAGTGATGACTTACGGATATGAGACGGGGTCCTTCACTGCTGGCCATATGAGGAACCTCAAGGTCGCTCAGCGAGCTATGGAGAGGGCTATGCTCGGGGTTTCTTTGCGTGATAAACTTAGAAATGAGTATATCCCCAGTAGAACCCGAGTAACCGACATAGCCCAACGGATTAGTAAGCTGAAGTGGCATTGGGCCAGCCATATAGCTCGAAGAACCGACAACCGATGGTGAAGAAAGGTTCTTAAGTTGCAGGCTGGTACCGGTAGACAAAGTGTAGGGCGACCCCTCACTAGATGGAGTGACGACCTGGTAAGACATGCAGGAAGTCGATGGATACAGGTGGCTCAAGACCGTGCCTTGTGGCATTCCTTGGGGAGGCCTATGTTCAGCAGTGGACTTTTGAAAGGCTGTAATGATGATGATGATATCAGATCTATGTATGTATTGTATTTAAATTATAATTTTCACGATACTGTTAGCAAAAAATAGTGATTAGATATTTACTAAATAATGTTTTTTTTTTGTATGTGTATGTCTGTGCAAGTTTAATTAAAATATAATTATTTTATTTTCTGATATTGTACACAATACAAGGGATATAAACTTCAACCAGATCTGACGATAATTGAAATCTGTTTATATTTTTAATCACTCCATGATAGTGTATAAGTTAGTTGTAAAACTATTGAGTAACTTGATTTAATGCTTAAAGTTTGGAAGTTTAATGGATTATCACAAGATGTTGACCAACATAGTCCCTTGTTAATATTCAGAGCAACAAGAGTAAGTGCTATTCCTTTATGAATTTCGGAAGATATTAAATTATATTATAGTACGTTCTTGGACACATTAAAGTAAGATACAATGAGTAACTCCCTAATACTAAGTTCTAAATTCTACATATTGGTATTATCATGAATATTACAAAAAGTATTTAATTGAGTCTAAATAATATTAATTTGGATGATAATGTGCTGGAGATCAAATGAAGAATATTTTATACAACTTAACATATTTACTTACGATATTAACCCAGATATTACTGAAACTTTTTTGTTTTAGATTTAACTGATTTTTAATATGTTTTACCAAAACGATGTTGTATTCATGAAAAAATATTTAAAAAAATATTCGTGGTCTGGAAAATGCGGAAAACGAGTGGCGTTATAACGCCCGGTAGTAAGATCTGCTACTAAAAGTAAAACATTTTTGGAATTTAATAAAACACAAAACACATGCTTACAATGGTTTATTTGCCAAGAATCTAAACTTTGGTATGATAGGAAATAAAACATATTTTTGGATGTAAATACAGCTGACATTTACGACAAATGAAATTGGTTTTGTTTTTTACAAATAGTGCAGCGGCTTTGAGATTCTTCATATTCAATTAGATGATCAAGGCGATCGTATCGCGATGTTTCTCTATAGTTGCTGGGACTACGGCAAGGTCCCCGTTTTTCGGTTCTTTTATACGTCTCCAATAATCCTCTGGCAACTACTCTACGAAAAGTTAAGTGGTCGTATTCGGCACCATCACTTTTGTACAACTGCCAGGCATTGTGGGTAGCCATATCCAAGATATGACAAAATAACGAAAAATACCATTTTTTTCCCCGGATCGAAGTTCTGTATAAGCCAATATTTTGGTCAGTTCTATCGACTCCACCCATATTTTCGTTGTATGATTTTATGATAGCAGGTTGATCAATAAACACATATCTTTTCAATTGTTGAGAAAATCTCTTGGCTTTGTGAAGCAGCTCAATTGTTTCCGCATTAGAGGCGACACTTACGAAACTATTGTCATTCCATTTCAGACTAAGATCTGCTTGGATTGACTAGACTTATAAACGAATGTGCCCCTTTTTGTTTTTTTTTTTTGAAAACCTTGTTTTCAGGTAGTGGGCATCTAGAGGTACGATTCTCACGAATAGTTGCTGTAGCTTTTAATCCTCTATTACTCAAATCGTGAAAAAGAGGGATAGAAGAAAAAACGTTATCAAAAAATAAATAAAATTGAGTGTTTGGGTAGCACGATTGTAAAACATCAGCAAACCTCAAAATTACACTTGCCCCTAATCCAAATTGTTTATAGCATGCTGGGATATTTGAAGAATGTCCCTGGTATGGGTCAAACTAAAAAACATACCCCAACCTAGTTGCAAATACCCACAGTTTATACCCCCATCGGATTGGTTTCCCGCGTATAAATTGTTTGCAACTATGGCCTCCATAGTATGGTACCATAGCTTCGTCAATACCATAGTTTTGTTCAAATGGTGCCATGTCTGAGAAAATTTTATTTATTAAATCAAACAAAGGCCTAAGTTTCGCAAATTTATCACTATCTGTACGAATGTCATTGTTGTCACAGCAATGTAAGTGTTTCATTATCATTGTGAAACGATCCCTAGACATGGCATTATAAACAACATCAAAGTGAGTATCAGAAGATTTCTCCCAATACATATACCTGCGTGGTACCACGACATAACCGCTGTATAAAAGTATACCCAAAAAACACTTCATTTCTGAAGTAGTTATATTAGCGATGACATTCCTTCATCAAATTTCGATTACTTCATCATTCACTATACACTCATAGTAGTACAAAGGTGACTGTAGATTTTTTGGGGCCTCACAATCCTGCCACTGTGTAAATTCACTTGGATTGTGCCTGTTGCGCCACGTATACTGTTGGGTTTTGCTTACACTAAGAGTTACGTTCCTCGATGAACAGCTTATAGATGGAGTGGAGCAAGAAGTAGAAGATATCTGTTGATTCAAATCTTCTGGCAAGCATTCATTGGCATTGCATTTCTTTTTGCTAACACAGACAAAGATAAATCATTTTCAGAATCGTCACTGTCTGAAAACGTATCATCATAAGTAATCTCTGCTGGAGCTCTTAGCTGGGAACCTGAAAAGTAATAAATACATTATACAATTGATTGTGAGTTCAGTGACTGAAATGAATTTCATAATATGCCCAAAGAAATAACCAAACCTGGGAGATTATGTAATGTCACAAATTCTTCATCACCAGAATCTTTGTCTGTTATTTCGTTATTTGGATCTTCCGGTGGAAAAATGGTAATTTCACTGGGCAGATCGTCATCAGAATCTATATTGTGTAATGCATCAACTATGTCGTTGAGATTCAAAGGTCGTTTCGTCAGTGATTTAAACATAATAGTAATAATAAATAGACGTCAATTTTACTACCGGGCGTTATAACGCCACAAGTTTTTACATAAGATAATTTTCATGAAAAACCGTGAAATTCAAGTTTATTTTATGTTACATTTATATTAAAATAACAGTTCTTTACGGGATTCTACGTTGTAGTATTTAAAACTTTATAAGTATATTTAAAAAACTTACCTTTTTGAAGCCATGTCGCAAAGCAATCACACTGTTAATTTAAAACACGTCTTAACTTCAAAATTAATGGACGCACTGTGACAAATAGTTAGGTGCACATTAAAGACGGACTGTTTCTGATGACGGTAATGTAAGACGATCTTTGTTTATACAACATTGAACATATAAATTTGGCGGGTACATTTATCATTCAATTAGTGGCGTTATAAAGGAGTAACAACGGTAGTAACAAGTGGGTTAAGGGGATACCTTTAAATTAGGCATATTGTTTTTAGAATTTGCCAGATCCCAACCTCGAATGCACATAGGAAAATTTGTGTTTAGTGCGTTGAAAAGATTTTCTGTAATTAGTAGTTCTTCAATTTAGGGGAAAGGGGGTGGAAAGGGTGTTTTGGTTTTCCGTTAAGAATAGAACAAAATAGAATAATTTTTATTCAATATGGATTAGAGTACATAATACTTAGTCATTTTTTACTTTTACCACTAGTTCGCAAAAACTTCTGTCCTGGGAAGAACCAGCAAGAAACCCAGCGGAACTTTATTTTTAAAAACACAATTTACAATATTATGGTAGCGATCACCTCATTCCCAGGGTTATTATTAGTCATGTACTCTTTAGTAGTATAATAACTAGTAAAATGAACTACGAGCTGGAGTGCATTAATTCGATCTGTCACAAAATTTCTTCTCTCTATCACATTCACATGTAAGCAGACGATCTTCAAGTGTACAGTCAACTCTTGAGAATCTGCCTACCGCTGTTTCTGCCATCAATGCTGACCTGGCGGCTATTAGCGAATAAAGTAAGTACTATGGACTTAAGGTTGATCCTTGTAAGTTTCAGGGCATTATTGTTGGTGGTGCTGGGGTGATTTCAAGAGTTGACTGGAATAACTTTCCAGCGGTGGTATTGAATGGTGTTGTAATACCTTACAGTAGCACCGTTAAAAATCTTGGTATCCACTTCGATACTACTTTCTCGCGGTCTCATCAATTGAAAGAAGTTAGCAGAAATACTTTTGCTGCTATGGGTTTATTGCGGCGTTTACATTCTTTCCTTCCCATTCCTTATAAAATTATGTTAGCACAATCTTTACTCCTCTCTATTCTCGATTATGCGGGCGCAAGCTATCTTGATTTAACTGAAGATCAACTAAACAAACTTGAGCGTATTCAAAATCTGGCTATTAGGTTCATATTTGGCTTGCACAAATATGGCCATGTCTCCGAATTCCGTTTAGAGCTCAAATGGTTACCCATTCGCCTTCGCCGGAACCTACAAATTCTTTCTCTTCTGTACTGTGTATTATTCGATCCAATGACTCCTAGCTATCTGAAGGAAAACTTTCAGTTTCTTGGTCATGACAGACCGGACAGAGTTCTACGGTCAGCCGGAGAACTTATACTCGCGCCACATTCATATCGAACTAAATACTTTTAAAACTCCTTCACAGTCAAGGCCATCTGCTTATGGAATGATCTTCCTTCGCAAATTCTTCGTGCGAAAACACTAGAAAAATTTAAGACTGACATCAAAAATTACTACCTAACAGTGCAATAATTACTGGTCATCATTTGCGACATGTATTTTTTGTATCCTGTCTGTATTTATTTATGTAATTTTAATGTATATTTGCCAATTTAATCTTATGTATGTCTATTATATTTTGAATGTATATATTAGTGTATTAAATATTTTTTTATTATGTATCAGTTTAGTTTATTTAGGTATTAGTATGTAAGTTTATTATAATATACACCACCTCCCACTGTCCAATAGAACAACTTTCTCCTAATCTTAACACTTTCACTGTCCGGTTTTTAGACACAACAGTAAGACAATAGCAGTGACCTATATGTAGTGCACGGGACAGGGAAAGGGTTAAGGTTGTCTGGAAGAGATCGCTTATTAGCGATAAGATCGCCTTATTGTACCTACCTCTTAAGTTTTACTCCTTGTAATTTGTTCTTTTTTATCGTTTTCGTGGTGTACAATATAGTATAAATAAGAATAATAATAATAGCACTTACTAGACACTTTTTGCTTAATAAATAATTTAAGCTTTTTGATAGAATAGATCTCCATATTTTTGGGACTTTGTTGTAAATTCGTATACATTTCCCCATGAAGAAATTATTGTCTCTTTGGAGTCGAGTAACTGGTATAACTAATTTGTGTTTGTTCCTAGTATTTACAGAATGTACATCACTATTTTAATAAAACTATTTTTGTTTTTGTTTACATTAAATTCTCGTAAATATATTGAGAGACCAAATTTAATATATTTATTTCTTAATTTTTTTCTCTGTAGAGGTTTTAAATTGCTCTTATGGCTCTCTTTCGCAAAATTTTCATATATGGGGGCTCCATTGAAGCTTCGTGTTTAGCATAATTCCAAGAAAAATGGTGGTGTCGACAAGACTCAATTCCTCTCAATTTAAAATTACATTAGTATTTAATTATTTAACATTTGACAACGCATCTGCATTTTAATTCGCAAACGAAGAGAGATGTAGATGTCTATGGGCCACAGCAACCACTTACCATCAGGTGGACTGTGTGCTCGTATATCGCCTTTATTCTGTAAAAGAAATAAGTGATATTCATTCTGTAAATACTAGGAACAGACACAAGCTAGTAATACCAGTTACTCGACTCCACCGAGTCAGTAATTCATTCTTAGGGCGATGTATACGCTTTTACTCGTCATTTAACGGGATAAAAACTATCCTATGTCTCAAGTTCCAAATTATATATTTACTACTATATATTTACTCCTATATATTTATATAGAGCCGTGGTAGCTCAGATGGTTATCGCTCGCTGTAAGCTTCACTGTACTCGAGCAACCCGGGTTCGATCCCCGCCGGCACCAATGAAATTGGTAATTGCAATTTTAAGTGCTGATTTACCAAGTGCTCGGCGGTGAAGGAAAACATCGTGAGGAAGCCTGCATGTCTGAGAAATAAGAAAAAAAATATTTTCGAAGACATGTGAAGTTCGCCAACACGCATTGGGGTAGCGCGGTGGACATTTCCTTGCCCTAAAACCCTCTTAGAAATGAGAGGAGGCCTGTGCCCAGCAGTGGGACGTAAATAGGCTGCAACTTTACTTTACTCTTTTTACTTTTATATTTATATAGGATTACAATGTTACATTTGCAGTGAATGAATCAGTGTACCTGTATATTTACTTATAATATAATAGAATAATATATGTAGATAGTTACCTACATATAATTATGTTCAAAGGTAACTTGTATAATGGTCAACGGGATGAAAAAGCAAGAATGGGACACATCCGTAGTTGGTATTTAAGAAGTAGATGGTAACGGATAGGAAAAAAGTAGGACTATCTACAAAAAGAAATAAGATGCCATCAAAACATAACTTGTATAAAAACCAAGTCTCGCAACTCAGTTCTTCTACCGTAAAAAGTTCTGAGGTCCATGTAATACCAAGTCCGTTAATTTATTCAATCCCTATTTAAGGGTCCTTCTGTCTCAAGTTATTACGTAATTAACTAACCTAACAACATCTTATAGTGACCATATCAATATTAATTTTTTTTAGGTTTTAAATAAATAGATTGACTTGGCCATCGCATGAAAACACAATGTATCTCACAAGAAATACATATTATATTAAATTAGATTGCTCTGTGCTTTGTGCATGTAAGGTAACGAGATTAACTGTCCACAGTGATCAGAACTTAAAATTTAAATAATTAATTTATGTAAGGGCTCAACATCAGTAAACTTATTATCTATACAAATTTTTTTTTTATAGGATCGGGTGACAAACGAGCACACAGTCCACCTGATGGTAAGTGGTTACTGTGACCCATAGACATCTACATCTATCCTCAATAAAGACTCAAGATGCAGATGCGTTATCACCCGTGAGGACTAAGATGGAATGCCTCTTTGCCAGTAAAAAGGGTCTCCGGTTCTCTACACTCACCATACGAAACACAGCAGCGTTACGCTGCTATTTTACGCTGGTTTTCTGTGAGAGCGTGGTCCTTCCCCGGTCGAGCCGACCCATTCGTGCTACAACCATAATATAGCTGCAGCATGACTCTACCACGTAGCAAAAGTTTCACTAGGACCTGCAATATGTGTTGGCTCAAAAAACGAATTAACAAGGTTGTATGATTTGAGCAATGATCTAAACTTAATACTCATGGAAGAAGTTTCAAGGAGATTGATATTACAATTTCCACATACGACGACAGATTTATTCTGTTTATTAGGTTTAAGCAAAACTTCCTTCATTATTTTTTCAACACAATCATACATAGAATATGGGGTTCTGTAAGCACTGACAACAATGAAGTGCTCGAACTCAACACATGCCATTTCTACAGTTCGCTTAACAGAGAGGCTCGCAATATCCTTACGTTCTTTACTTATTAATAATTTATTAGCTAATATGACGGAGCCACCGCGTAATTTTTTTTCTCTGTTAAAGCAACGCAACTGACAACCTGGTGTTTACTGAAATTAAACATATTATAATTTTAATCTTTAACCAATGTTCAGTTATACAAAAAATATGTATGTTGTTACTATTTAAAAACAATTCCATTTCTAATTGTTTGCCCAACATGCCTTGCATATTTTGATGCACCAGGTGTATACAATTTTTATGATTATTTTTATGACAAATTATACATTTTACTATTTGTGGGCTACATTCTTGATAATTTAAATTGTTACTATGATATCTCTATTGTCTCATTTTCTAATTTTAATTACTTGGAACTAATTTTCTTGTAAAATTCTTTCAATGTAAAATCATTATA